GTGTAGGGTTTCAAATGCAGTTGAGCTGAAACAACAGCGTCTTGCCACCAGCACAAAGAAGTCTGTTCTCTGTCCTGCCTCCCCATTCCTTTTTTTTCTGGATTTTCCCCACCTGAAAGCGATCATATGTACACTAATGAGAGGACAGCAAAGCTGCATTTTTATCTGTTTTGACATTTACCAGCATTTTTTGCCAGCATTACTTGGGTTTTTTTCCTATTGTGAATATGTATGGTGAGTACTTATCCATCTTAATGGAGTTATTGTATTTTGGCTGTGTTTAAGATATGGTAGTGTGATATTTTACAAAGAATTGTCTCTTCTCGGCAGAGTAGAGGTAGATATCAGTGTCTCTAATCTATCTCTGCCCAGAAAGCTCATAGTGGCTAAAAGTACCACGTGAAAAGGAGATCATGTGCAATTAACAAATTAAATAAAAGCTAAATTCTTTGTTGCATGTTCTGTTTTGCAGAGTTGAAAAATAGAACTTCTCTGAAATTTTCTCCGAGTTTTCATTATAGCCTTATTTCTAAAGCCAAATATTTTATTCCTAATTTGGGCTGTGTTACGAGCAGCCAAGTGTGCATGCAAGAGGGTAAAGTCCACGGGAGGCAAAAGGGCAGTGCAACTGCCAGCCACATTCAGAAGGAAGAGATAAATGGAAAACTAAGAATAGCTTTGCCCATTTTCAGGAAGGACCCTTCCATCTGATGAAGCTCGTACTAGCTCTCCGCGCTGCCCCAGCAGGTGATTTCTCCTGTCCTTGCTTTGCAAGTTGAAATTCCCGTGTGCTTCCAAATCGTAATGCTCTGCGGGAACAGAGAAGGGGTGGGTGCCGCAGAAGGGGGCATGGACCTGTGATGGAGACATCAACACCAGTGCTTCTGCCTGGTGTGTTTTTTGTAAGCTGCTTTGGCCTTGGTTTTCCATTTTGAGTGTTCGCTTTCAGACACGCAGAACCTGAAGTAATTCTGACAGTGCAGGGGTGACTCCAAGATTACCTCTACGTTGCTTAAATGCCCCGGTTGTGGGATATGATGCCTGTTCCCATAGCCAGGCAGGGCAGAGGGCTGGCATCCTCGCTGCTCGTGGCAAGCCATCTCTAGAGCAGGCTGGCCATGGCCCCGCCGTAGAACACTTGGCCCTGCATCTCCTCTGGTCCTTACATAGTGCGCCTGGTATCCTAAGGCATAATTGCCCTTTTATTGTGCTTTTTCAGTTCAGAGTTGTTCCTTCCTAGCAATGAAGACGCACCCTCAGCGTCCTCTTCTTAATACTCAGCACTTCTGTTGCCCTAACCCTGATCTTTAGAACAAGAGTGTACTAACAGAGGCTACTTGCACCAATTTGGCACCTTATTTCTTATAATGTAGAATAGGGATGGCGATGCTTATCTGTGTTCTGAAACCGCATAAAAGTTTCTTGTGAAGTACAGCGATATTTCCATACATGTCGATAACTTGGTCCGTCATTATCTGCTTATCGCTCTGGGTAGCAGGAGGATGCCTCCTTCACACTGCTGGCCTTTTCCCTCTGATTAGCAATCAGTGTTGCTTTCTGAAAAAGATGAAAGAAAAAACAAAGACCTTTCCCCAGATATCCTTTATCAAAATTACAGTCAAGCCAATCAAAGCTTTCCATTTATCTACCTAAGTTTATATTTACATTTGTATTTTCATCTGTAAAGTAGTAGTAATTTGTGAGTCTTTAGGACAGCATGGATGGTGACTCAGAACCACGATCTGAGTCAGTCTCAGCAGACCCCTTGAAGGAAGATGCGGAGCCTACACAGAGACGTGTTTGTGGGTAAAATACATTTAAAAAGCTGCAAGGCTACAGAGCCCCTTCTTGCGCTGCATGGCAGAAGCACAGAAAAAACTGCAGGAACAGAATGAAGCACATAGTTGCACGAGTATCGAGTTTGAAAGGATGGTATTTATAAAGCTCGGTTCTTATTAAGTGAGATTTCTTTGTACGTGAACTTTCTTAGACTCGCAGGATGCCATTTAAATGCATCTTTCAAAATAGTTTCCTTCCAGAGTCCAAATGTGGGCTGCACCTGAACTCGGCCTTAGGAAAAAGTCAGTCTTTGCCAGGGAGTAAGAGGCGTGGGATTGAAGTTGGTGTTTTGCTCAGTGTTCATCCAGGGGTGTGGTGAATTAGCAAAACATTCTTGTGATGGGTGGAACAGGGCAAGAAAGCCCTTGACAAAATATCGCCATAGGGCATAATTAGAAATGGGAGAGATCGTCTGCATTTGACTAGATTTCTTGCTGCTTAGCCCATCATTCTAGTGTTTACAGAGTTTGGAAACTCCTTTTGTCACAGGCTTTCCTTCTGACTGGCCCCAGAAAGGGAGGCTGACTCCAGCATATCAGAAAAGAGCAGGAAAATGTATTAATTTACAAGTTATTAAATAAATAAACACCCCTGTGGAGGCATCTGTTTTTCTGGGTGTAGAGTTACTTACGCTGGGTAGGGCTAAGGATTTCCTGGCTTGCTTTATGCTGGGTTGCAGAAACGAGGCTTTTGCGCTTCGCTTTGCGGGTCCACTCTTGCGGTTTCATTGAACAAGGCCCCGGCAAAATCCCTGGGTTATGAAATATTTCCTCTCTGTCGGGTCCCGGACAAGAGACGGCATCTGCAGAGCCAGAAAAGGAAATCCTTGCCTTATAGAGAGCGCTCTCGGTGTGACACAATGGCTGATATAAAGTGTCGGGGCAGCTGAGCTGAAGGCAAAGGAACAAAGGAAGATCGAGGTTCGGTGGCTGTCTCGGACAAAAAGAAAGCGGAAAGCGTCTCGGGGATGGATAAATTTAAGGCTGCGCTTGTGCTGGCTGCGGTAGGGGATGCTCTTGGTTATCGCAATTTCTCCCGAGAAAACAATGCCTTAGGTGCAAAAATCCAGCAGGAGCTGAAGGAAATCGGAGGGCTTGAGAACCTGGTGCTCTCTCCCGACAAGTGGCCAGTAAGTGACAACACGCTCATGCACATGGCTACAGCAGAGGCTGTCATCACAGGTAGGTACGCCGGGACTAGCGAACGCAACCTGGAAAGGAACAAAACTGTCGAGCTGCTGCGTTTCTTAGAATAAGGCTGAGTGCTGGGGGAGTCACGAGAAAGCGTGTCAGAAGTGCTGCTTATGTGAATGATAATGTGCATTAGCTTGTCTCCTCCACGAGCGTAACCTTGCGACCATCACACGAACTGGGGAGTTTTGATTTCTTGAGTGTGGAGGGTTTCTCCCTCTGTTTTCCCTAGATTTATACAGTTGGTTAAAGCTTAAAGACTAAAATGCCACATGTCCAGCATAAAAAAAAAAATTGCTAAGTGGATTATCTGTATGCTGGACTATGTCAGGGAATAATATACCCACTAGAAATTCTTCTGTAAAAGATAAGAGCTCTTCTAAGTGCATTTTTAACATGTTTGTGTCCAGAACTCCAGGCTGGAGTAGAGTCACCTTAATACCTTTTTCAGGCTAAAATCACTAACGCTGTCTCGTCTTTGCTGCCCCTCGGGCAAAGGGTTCCATCTGCAAGGCCAGAAAGGGAACAATTTGCTTTCTAAGGAGAGCTCTGTCTCTTTAGTCCAACAAATACTCTAACATACTATGTTTACAATAACATCCATCAGAATAGTGGAAGTTGTTAATAGATGTCTTCAAAAATCACAATAGTTTGAGAGAGAACATTTGGTTTTTCTTAAGGTAGGAATAGCCTTTTGGAAGATGCAATGATATTTATATCGACACCCTACCCATTGCACTAGAGCTTTCTGAGACTGTCAAGACCGTCATCAAAAGAACACCAGAAGACAGTGACCATTCAGCAATATTTTGCCTCTGCAGAACAAATCACATTTTTTTAATCTCTGTAAAAATATTCCTGATTTTTCTCAACATGTGTAACACAGGATAACTAACAGTAGCAGAAACTCACAATGTAGCTAAGTATCCTTCCCGTCAATGAAATTTCCCTTGTGCTTCTGTTTCACCGCTTTAACTGCCTGCTTCCAATCTGCTCTAAATTTAGTACGTAGAGCTCAGTTGAAGAGTGTGTTGGACACTTCATGCTTGGCTATTAGCTAACCAATGGTTTAAGGGGTAGCTAATACACTAAAGATAAGGGCAAGATGTCAGCCTATCAAGAAAAAAGATGACTAACGTATTTCTGAATATAGGCAATGATTAAATACATATCATATGTTTCTTACTTATTGAACTCTCTAAAACCATAACTTCTGGGTAATCAAGCCAGTTAGACTAACAGTAAAATAATAAATCTTATTTCTTAGATATGGCAGGAGTACTGTGGCTCTAAAGAAAAAAACTCTCAGCTATAATTCCCATCAGCTGTTTTAATCCTACACGCTCATCTCTTTAGCCTGATCAGACAAGCTTTTTAAAAAAGGTGCTTTTATGGGCTGGCGAGAAAGCAACAGGCTGGTGTGGGGAATTTGAGTAAGAAATCTTCATTTCATAGTAACCTTGGTGAACAGGGGAAATCCAGTCCTTCTCTCTGCTTCCCACAAGGCAAACAGAACTGCTCCTGCCCACAGCAGTGTCTCCTTCTGGCAAGGGGAACACAAAAAAGCCACTGGGCTTGGTCACGGTCCAGCCCGTGTGCAAAATCACCCAAGTCAACAGAGTGAAGCTAAAGGTCAACGTGAGTCCGTGAGGCTGAAGGCCCCTGGCCACCTGACTGCCTTGTGTAGCAGGGAGCCCTTGCTGCTGCGTAGACTGAGATTTTAAAGAATATATTGGGTGCTTGGAACATTACCAGCCAAAAAAAAAAGAAAAAAAGAGGGAGGATAAGCAATAAGAATACTCCTGTCCCTCACTGCCCTGTTCCCCACGCATCCCGTTCACCTGGCTGGCTGCCTGCCGGCCGCAGGCAGCATCCCCTGGGCGCTGGGTGGGACATGCCCAGGGCTTAGGCTCGCCGTGAAGTCCCATCCCCAGGGCACTGCCCCCGGCGGAGCTCCCAGGCTGAGGCTGCGGCAGCAGCCAAGCATGAGGTGGAGCTTTGCACTGAGGACGAAGGCAATTCTCACCCAGGAAGGCGATTTTGGCCAGCACTTTGCCGGCTGCGTGGAGGGCATCCCGTGAGGGCCGCGGCCAGAAGAAGTCGGGGCTGCGGGCGCTGCTGCAGACTGAGCTGGCGCTCCCTAAATCCACCATGTGCACAGACTGAAAGTTTGATCCCACAATGGAGGATAAACGAAACGTCTA